CGCGCGACATAAACGTCATTCAGCGACCACAATATCTTATCTTGTCGAGGACATTATTATTTCCTATACTTTGATTGGTTAGGGCACGCGATTGTTAGGGTAAGGCTTAGGGCTAGGTCTTGGGTTATGGTTATATATAGCATGAGACCAATCTCATGATAGAAATACATGTTCTTTTTTAGCCTGTGAGACGAAATTCGTCCATGATTTATTATTCATACCGACTTCGCAGAACAGCTGATATCATTAAATTGTTTAATTGGGCAGATCGTCTGTGCTGTCTTGTAAACAGGGCTAGCGCTAACCCTAACCCAAGGCCTAGCCCTAAACCTTACCCTAACCGAAACCTACAATCCCCGGCAACAATCACGTGCCCTAACCCTGTTTACATCTCGCGACCCTGGGGAAATCTGCAGGTGTGCGTATGAAATAGATCTAGCCACTAAGGTTCAGACTCACAAACCAGGGGGTTCCTGTTACAATCCCGGTGTCTGCCGAGAAGGTTCCTCTGGATTTTCCTTCTCTTGTTAATGGGGCAGGACCAGGGGCTTGGCAAGGACAAGACATATAGTTTTTCAGATCGAAGATTTTGATAGTTGGAATTCGATAAGGAGTTGGCTAATACACCGTTATCCGGGCAGCATCTCCCCTATAGCGTACTTCATGACGTATGCCAATCTTCATTATCCCGGTTGGTGCAGATAACTAGGACGTTAAACCCCATTTATTCACTTAAATTTTTGTTGTGATTGTAGCTAATACACCGTTATCCGGGCAGTATTTCCCCTATCGCGTACTTCATGACGTATGCCCATCTTCATTTTCCCGGTTGGTGCAGATAACTAGGACGTTAATCCCCATTTATTCACTTACATTTTTGTTGTGATTGTGGGGGAGGGGTGTTTGAGACAGGATTTGGATGGGTGGTGCCCCCTTTATTGTGTCTTCTTTTGTATATAATCCACACAAGAATCAGAATGTTTGGTGCATCCGTTATTGTGGTGTTTTTCTTAAAGACAAGACACATTACAGGATTTGAGCGTGTGGTTCATCCTATATTATGTTTGGTGCATAAATACAAGACACAAGGCAGGCTTTGTGCGAGAGGTTCATCCTATGTTGTGTTTGGTGCATAATGGCCAAATACGCGGCAGGATTTGGGTGTATGGTGCACCTTTGATTCCAAACGTATTACAAGGCTACAACATAAAACCATTTATTATTTTTTCGCATTTTAGTGGACCATACACACTTAATTTCACAGTCAGGATTTTACTATTCCGCTCGTCTTTTCTGTCTGTTCTTTAATAGGTTGTTGAGAGTCCATTTCCCAACTCAGTGATCTCGAAAACAAGTTCTTAACTATGTCTGGAATTGTTTTTTTTTCTCGAAAAGCATCTGACAAAACCAGAAAATTAACAGACGATCTGTAAAAGACATAATGATCAAAAGTGGCATTGTTTTCTTGTGTAAAACGTCTTAATGTCAATAACGTTCGACTCTTAAAGGGATTATACATTGTTGTATTATATCCAAAGATAAAAGGTCTGTACAGAACTGTCCATAAATGTTAGAAGGAAATGTCTGGAGTGGAACAATTGATGCCAATTAACCTAATTGCGATTCTAAGGGGCTTTTATTGGGTTGACAAAATTTCTAGCGTGGAGATATGTGTTACCACCGTGCGGAAGCGATCGCTAACTTACATCGTTCCACTTTTCAATTACGTTTCTCAAAGACATTTATTTGGTTGACCAGATTTTTATCCTTGGAACATGTTTGGCTATATCTGCTGCATCTCATAGCGCGGAAGCGATTGTTAAATTATGTCTTTTCACTAGCCAATTACCGTTCTAAGAGAGGTTTTTATGTTAGGACATGTTGTGCCATGTCTGCGATATCAACTCGTTAAACTCTATCGGTTCACTTAAAAATGGAAGGATGTGTCATTACAGCCCCGGACGGTACAGCAGAGTGGAAGATAAGGGACACCCCTAGGTGCATGTAATTTAATTGCTATGCCTACAATACGTTTGTTGGGGTGTTTAAGAATTTCTGTTTTATAGGTCATCACCCTTGGTATGTTTGGGAATTTCTATCTTATTAATTTATCGTCCTTGGTGTGTTTGGTGGTTTCTGTTTTATAGGTCATTTCACTTGTAACGTTTGGGAATTTCTAGTTTATTAAGTTATCACCCTTGTATCTTTGGAAACTTCTTCTATTTGATAGGTTATTGCCCTTGGCATGTTTGCGAATTTCTGGTTTATAGGTTACCCCGCTTGATATATTTGAAAACATTATTGCTATTGTGACGGTTCTCTTCTGTACACGTCAATATGTAACAAGCGAAGCTCGTAGTTTTGTCCCAAGCTAGCCGCTGTTTTCTTACTAGAACCCCTGTTCTTTACCCTACTGTCATGCTTGAAAATCTTGAGGCACTTTCTCGGCCCCAAGCAGGAACAAACCCGGGATCTCATGGTTCACTAGAGAGAGCCGTGGCTTCTTTTCAAATAATAGAAATACGCCCACTTTACTTCCTCATTCCTATAAACAGACGATTTCTTATCTTTAAGACGAAAGGGTAAACTAGTGATAACATGCCATAACATAATAATATACTACTATTATCATGTTGATAAAGTCAAATTAGTTCAATAATTGATGATTAACGTCGGTCGGGGAGATAACTCAGATACGTCAAACACACACACATACAAAATGTCGCGCGACTTGTTAAAAGCCTGACGTTATTTCTCACGCAATGCCAGTATGTTTTGATATAGAAATAGTGACACTGATAAGCTTATCTCTCTCCCTCCTCTCAGTTCATGTTTTTAATGAAAAACTGCACGGAAATATTTACTAATATTTATAAGGAATCTTTTCCTTGTTGTGCGTGATATTAGGTATTTATCTAATTTCACATTTCACACTGAAGAAAAAGAGCAAATCGGATATTTATGAACTTATAGGAAAAATATTTTTTAAAGAGCTTATAATTCGTAACCGAAGTATGGTTAGGGTTACTTTAGGGTTAGGGTTAGTGTAGTTTTTAAAATTTGCGTGAGGGTTAGATATGTTGTATCTAAGGGATAAGCTTTATTCATAACTACATCAATAACAAGGTAATAATCTTTGTAAGCATTTTGGTTACGAGGTAGTAGACTTTGTAAACATTGTGGTTACGAGGTAGTAGACTTTGTAAACACTGTGGATAAGAGGAAATGTTTGTAGACACTTGGTTACGAGGTACTAGTCTATGTAAACTTTGTGGATACGAGGTAATCTTTGTAAACACTGTGGTTACGAGGTAGTAATCTTTGTAGGCATTGTTGATACGAGGTAGTAGTCTTTGTTAACACTGTGGTTACGAGGTAGTAGTCTTTGTAGACATTGTTGATACGAGGTAGTAGTCTTTGTTAACACTGTGGTTACGAGGTAGTAGTCTTTGTAGACATTGTTGATACGAGGTAGTAGTCTTTGTTAACACTGTGGTTGCGAGGTGATCAGTATTCATAAACACTGTGGTTACAAGGTCTAATCTTTATGCGTAAACACTGAGATTACAAGGTAATCTTTATGCGTAGACACTCTAATCACGAGCTTACGTTGTCCACATTTTTTTATCAAAAGGATAGGTACTTATATTGCATCTTGAATTTTGAATTATATACCCACTATCATCAGGATCTTCCACGTATACTATCCTCGTCCTAATTCTCCTCACTTACATCATCATCATCATCATCAGCATCAGCATCACACCATTGTATTTATGGAACGTGACTAGACCCTATCCCAGAAAGCCGATCGTACTGTATTTGTTGTTCTTCTACTGAGGGGCTCGGTTCCAGGTTCAGAAAGTACAGTCGTACTTGTTTATAGAACATATATTTTCTTTGGTATATAAAGACGGGTTTTCGAACCTTGTCGATAAAGTGGGTTCTTGCACTAAATGGGTTGGGGAGTGGGTAGCGGGGTTTAGGGTTGGCGTCGGGATCCACGAAATGTGTTTGATCAGTTAAAATGAAAGTGCGATAACAATCTGTCCTCGTTGAAACGTTTGCAGTGACGGGCGCAGAATATTTGGTTATTGGCATCCTTCGAGAAAATTATGAAAAATACCAACCAACAAAAATCTCACATTTGCCATAATATGCTGATTACACTATTTTGCCTGATTACACTATTTTGCCGATACCGTTTTTTTAGGACTTCGAGTTTTGTCTAATGGTTTGGATTGTTCGTACTTGGTTTTAATTTTATTTTCATAGAAACAGAATAATATATAAATATTTAATACTCTTATTGGCGTGCTTTAACCATTACTTCTAACTTTCTACACGTGGATAATTCTAACAGGTTAGGTGGTTTGAGTTTATGACAGAGAGAGAGAGAGATGTATCCAGAGACCATGGGCCGTGATCGTGCTTAGTTGCGCAGCACTAAGAGCTACTGGTTTAAATCGAAGCAGTCATTGTACATTACGATCTGTGACTCGTACATAATTGAGTCGGCTCACGCGTATGCCGACCGGTGCGCCCCCTGGGTCCCGATGGCGGGTGGGTGAGGGGCGTCCGCCGGGTGTATGTAGCAGGAAAAGCTATAATTTCACCGGTAATATTCACAAGATCCCATGTAGGACAAAGACCTTAATTGGTTTTAAATCAGGACGACATTTTTACATTAACCAGTTAAATATATGCTACGTATTACTTATCCCGTCTCATTTGGGGACCAACATATGGTTTAATTTAATTTTAATAATTTGTTTGCACGCATTTGTCTTTAACAGTGGGGGGAAGCGGAGGACCTAGCGCAAACCCACGAGGTCGGACAGGCGACCCCTCAAACTGGAAATCGAAACCATGCCAGTTGACACAATGGCATACCTGATAATCTATCTTGGGGTCACCAATCCCCCGTCTCCATTCAGCCATGAAACCTCATTTTATTTGATTTCATTTTGTTTCATATTACTTGTTTGTTTGTATTACAGACGGGGATGAGCCACATCTGCGCTGCAGGACTGTATCCCGCCATTGACATTCTTTCCGATGCACCGGAAATTGATATTAATATACCAGATAAGGAAGGAAATTCCCCATTGATATTTGCCGCTCAAGCAGGTTTGATACATTAACACCAATTAGATTAGTACAACAGGTTTATAGGACATTAAAGTTTTTACCCTAAAGAAGCATTATGTAAGAATTAGATAAAGGGTCGGTCGTTCTTGCTATAATCGTTCAAAAATAGATAATGAAAATTTCAGTCAAATAACTTTATTCTGGGCTAAGTTATGAGGGTTTGAAGTTTTGTCAAACGTCGCGATAGACAAGTACCATTACTACAATAATAAATCAAGTCTCGATCATCCATTTTATCATTGAATTATTAAATGACAAGAGGGTTCCAACCCATTCATAACCTAAACCATAATCTAAGCCAAAATAAAGATCTATGGTAGGTAGATTTAGCTCTTACATAATATGCATCTTTAAAGAGTACTGGGTCATATTTCACAGCTCCACTACTACGGTAAATACGGTACTTCTAATACTTTCGATAGCCTCCACGAGTAAAATGAAATTGTGAATATTAAATAACGAAACGAAATAGAATCTGTATTTTGTTCCGATTAGAAATGTACGGGGTATTGTAAAGATTTCAAGAACAATGGCATCTGTTATTTTATGTTTATGTCTAAAAGTTGTGGAGGGCTTTGGTCAAATGGAAATAAAGTGCATAATGTTCTTTTTTTTCTAGGTCACACAGACGTAGTTAGGTTATTATTACAAGAATATAAAGGCATTAGAATAGACCATGCCAATAAACTCGGCTTTACAGCTTTAATGAAAGCCGCCATACAAGGTCGTACAGATTGTTCGAGACTCCTTCTATATGCTGGTAAGTATTAAAGGACAATATTGCTGTGATAGAACTGGTTAAACTCGTTCCAAGCATAATTTTAACACAGCGATCATTGCTACGATAGATGCGTTATGAAGATCGCTCGCAAGAAATGGAAGTGACGAACGCAAAAGGAAAACACGAGTTATCCTGCTATATAACTGACTAAAGTGACGAGTGATAACAAATACACGGGCGAATTTCTGCTCACTAATAATTCCTTCGAAAAACAAAAGTTGTTATATGAGACAGTGGGAGCATATCTGACAATTAAAAAAAAAAAAAATAATTGGCTGTCACTAGATAAGAGAAAATGAGAAAAATAGAAAAAGTCCGTGGATTACCATGTTTTTATTAAGTATAGAATGAATAAAAACAAGGGATCGTACGGACTATTTCTATTACTGATTAAAATTATATTTGGAACATGTTTAACCAGTTCTATCACAAATGTGATACTGATTGACACCAATATTGCCCTTTAAGCCGAGAACGATCCGAATTGACAGAAATGAAATCGGGTGGCACGGAATACAGTCCTGTCACAGTTCTGTCAATCCCTATAACTTGGGTAGTGTGAGTAGAATCATGGCGTAATAAAACACAGCGAATATGTTTCATCTGTCGTAATTGGTTGAGATATTTCCTTATATGGCCGTTTTGAATAGAATGTGGTCGCTTTGATGAAATATTTAGCCGGTTTGGCTAAAAAGATCGCCGTTATGACCAAAATGTGGACGTTTTGACTGAAGCGAAGTTTGACCCTTTTAGTTTGATGTGTATCAGAAAAAGAAGAAACAGTCTTTGATTGTGTTTACATGGACGTATTTTTATCTATCGTCACCGGCTATTGAATCAACCTTTTGTGGATGTAGCGCACTCGTTAGGGCAATGACCTGTCGTAGACTACGCGAATCGGCACGGCTGTACCGAAGTGCATCGAATACTAACTAAAGAAAAACATCCTTTCTGTACACTAAAATGTGAAATAAATCGGCAATTCCATGAACCAAATAAATGAGAGGATACAAATTATTATCCTTATGTACAGGATTGACTTTGAGCACCAGTCAATCTAAGTCAAAATTAAGAGTATGGGCCAGAGAGCCTCGGTGTCGGCGAAGAAAGTTGCTCGGGATTGTCAGTGGTACAGGGCGGAGGGCAAGACAAGGGCAGCGTCTAGTCGTTCGGGTGGGACAAGAAACCGAGCTCCCGTGTACACAATGGCGTGCACGTAAAAGATCACTTGGCAGTTGGAATTGAAATTAAGAGTAAGCCGTAGTGCCACTGTCCGGACAAAATTTCCATCATAGCACAATGCATGGCACAAGCCCGTCTTAATTAGCCCGGTCGATGCAAAACAGGGGGAGGTTAAACTCCATTACGGGATAAACAAGTGTATGGGCCATCTAGAATTCTACATCTAAAGCATTGTTTGTAATAGGCTACATATTGGAATTGAAATTAAGAGTAAGCCTTGACATAGGCCCGTCTTAATTAGCCCGGTCGGTGCAAACGGGATAAACAAGTGTATTGGCCAGCTAGAATTCAACATCTAAAGCACTGCTTGTAGTAGGCTACTTGTATATACTGAGGTTTTGAGACACCACTTTCAATCAATGTAATATGACAACTGAAATGCCATCCCAGTAGACTTTCAAATGTTTTTAATTCTACCTGGGGACACTTCTAACATTTCATTCTACTGGTATTTCTCATAAATTACTAGGTTTCCGCTCTCTTATTTGAAAGTGGGCGTATTAAGGAATGTCTGTACTCACAAAAGCTTTATATTTAAATACTAAAAGTCAAAATTCGTCCGCGACTCAATTTAGGAAGTAATTAGGCATTTTCTAATAATCTTAACAAGGAGACCAATTAGTAGTTTTTAAGTAAGAACTCGCCGTCATCATGTCTGGTTGTTCAAAAGGTGAACCGTACATCCATTAATGACCACTTCAAAAGGTTGTGTGACGTAAATAACAGAGGGTCGCATACGGCGATTCCTTTCAACTTCCGTACGTAAAAATGGTTAGCGATCTGTAATTAACAGCTTCCGTTATTAATGGTGAATTTCTAGTCTAAATAATAACGTAAATAACGATGTTGAGCAAAGAGATCAGCTGTAAATTTCACATAGTTAGCGATATTTGATTCGAAATAATGTGCCTACAATTGAAGACCACCTGACGTACTAACACGTTAAATTATATTAATTCATAGATCGACGAATGACAACGATTATTAATGTAAACAAAATAATTGCACACGTGACAAAAGAAAAAATATAACCGTATGTTAGTCTCAATATAACGAGACGTTAAACCCGATTTCTTTCTTTTCCTATTATCTGCCGTGTTTACATTCCATTCTTCCGAGCGAGGGAGCTACGGTAGTCCAGTGAATGAAGGACTAGTCTCTTTTATTCAGACAAGTATTCTACGAATAGCAGTCTGGATGGGTTGTCAACATTTGAGAATAACTAGGTCTTTGGCTAGATTATCCGGTCTTTATATTATCATGAACAGAATCTAAGGGAGGTAACTAACCCTAAAGCAAGATGTCGACGCCCATGAAATTAATTAAAGAATTGCCGTTTCAGAAAATATATTTGCATTGCCTGTTCAATATCCAACACTCTTTTTTTATTGTAAAATTTCTCTCTTCAAGGTCCATAGCTATGTTTTTTTATTAATCGTTCGTCGTCACGATTCCTGTTTGTTTATATTAATGCATGAATTGTTGAATTTATTTTGGGGAGGGTTACAACTCTTACCTGACTTGACGAGATTTACTGGATAATCAACCACTTAAACAAAACACACAATAAACTCACGGGTACGCATGGGCAACGGAACTTTTAAGCAAATGTTTGCAACCGACACGGAAGTACGTTGAAGACTAGGAGGTTCTGGGTGATCGAGATTAACCAGGGGGTTGGCCCAGAAAGTGCTTCGGGATTTTCGGTCAGATGGGATGAAATAACATAGGTCCCATAGACACATTGGTGTGCAAGGAAAAAAAATCCTTGGCTGTTAGAATTCAACGAAACGTAGGCGGAAATGTCACTGCCCGGAGGAAAACGCCCAGATAGCACACCGCATGACATATGTTAGGCCGATTGGTGCAGCAAAGTAGGACCTTTAAACCTATTTGATTTGCCCGAGTGAAGTATCCTGGTCTTGATCCAAGGCTTATACGTGGCAATGATTAAAGTCACGTTCCTGACCTCATTGGACGTTAAACCACATTCCATTTCTTCCCAGAGAGAGAAATGGGGTTTAACGTCCACTCGACACAAACTAGGTGATTTTGGAACCAACATGGTTCAATTTTATTTCAGTAATTCTCTTGTGCGTAGGGGTCTTTAGCAGTGGGTGAAAATCGGAGGACTCGGAGAAAACCCACGAGGTTTAACAGGCGATCCTACTCTTTTTCACGTACAACCGGGGAATCGAAACCCCGTCAGTTGACTAAATGACGGACATGAAACAGCGCGCACGCGCTAACCATTCGGTCATCCACCCCCACCTTCCCAGAGAAAATTCGTAGCGAATCAGTGCGATCAAACTCTACTGGCCTTTCCATCGCCTTTCCGTTAGACAATATAGAAAAATTATACAGTCAAATAGAGACAAAACAAACACTACAGTAGAGAACCACTAAACATAACGAACTTCCAGCAAAAAAAAAGAACTTTCCACGGGAAGTAGAAGAGTAGGAGAACAGAACGGAACGGGAGCGGCGATTAGACCCCGTAAGACGCTACCCACCTACACAGAGTAACAAAAAATAACTTAAAAACCTTGGCGCGTCTCTCCATGTGTCTATGTGAACGTTATAACATTTTATTTTACAAATCTTTTCAGGTGCTGATCCAAAATTAAGAGATCATGGAAGAAAGTTGTGTGCAGAAGAATGGGCAAGGTATTGTGGGAGGAAAGATTGTGCAGAAGCCATTTCCAAATTTTCAAACACCAAACGATTTCTTCAGCGGAGCAGATTAGCCCAAGCAACAGAACGGTGTAGCAGTGTCCCTGACCTTGCCTCAGATATATTTTCTGGTACTAGCCCACAGCAGAGACAGTCCCATAAAAGACAATCGTTGCGTAAAAAAATCAAGAAAATGTTGCCATGTAATAACGAAAACATTGGATTAAGCCTTGGGGAACCCGGAAGTCCGTTCGCTGTTATTGCTCGTTGTGTGTCAAGTCCTGTACTCCCTGGTGTCTTGTCCCCGGTGAATTCTCCCCCGAGTCTTAGGCGACCGGTCAGTGCAGACGATATTCCTAAAGTGGAGATAACACTACCGTACGACGAGGAAGAATTCATGGCCAGACAAAGTGAACTTGGAATTCATGTAGGACGCGGTCGACGACAGAGAAAGTGTGTATTTGTGCACTGAATGATGCGAAACTGTGGTCGTCCATAAAAAATGTGTCGTGTTCGGTAGCCTACATGAATCGTCTGGAATCAAGGGTGATAATTACTATGTGTTCGGGATTAACCATTTAGAAAGGATATGCATGTGCATTTAGCAAGTGCATATAGGGCTCCAAGGGAGGGGGATAGTCGAGTTTTTGCCAGTGTTTTATTTACCATGGTTCAAATTGTGCAGTTGAACAAGGCCCCGTAAAAGTGGTCCCACGATTGATTACAACAAAACAACATGTATACATATACGACAAGGATATTAATAATAAACGATTTTGCGGCTTAGTGTCGTTTTGAATTACATATACGTGGGAGCACCATGACCTTTTCATTACGCGGAGATTCTCAAGTTTTTAATCGGGTCCCGTATGTGTTAATATGGAAGACTAATTTGAATAGTAAACATCCAGCTCCCCAATTAGCTAATGTGGTGGAAGTGAGTTTAAGATTTCAGACGTAGCCTGCAGGGATTGTTAAAAGATAGAAGTGTCAAAATGGATTCAAGAACATCTCAAAGAGAAAACCGAGGTCTTTATTCTTCATGTTTGTTTTTAAAACATTTCTAGTGTTCGGCTTCGGTGATATTTGCTCAGTACCTTTAAATTGTGTAGCTCATTCATGTTTATTTACTTTATTCACCTTATTTAGAGTCACTGATCTTTGTTGTGCATATTTCGGACAATATATAATATTCCACGGCTTAAATAAAGGAAATATTGGTGTCAGCCATTATCACATGGTTAAACACGTTCCAAATATAATTTCAACACAGAGGTCATTGCTACGATAGATGCGCAACGCCGATTTGAAGAAACGGAAGTGACGAAAGTAACGAGTGATAACAGATACACGGGCGAATTTCCGCTGACTACTAATTCCTTCGAAGACCGAAAGTTGTTATATGAGACTGTGAGAGGATATCTGACAATTCTAAAAAATAATTGAATGATTTGCTAGGGATTCAAAATCACTCAAATGGCGATCAGCGACTTTATCGTTTTATTCTCCACGTTGGTTTTGCATATCTTAATACCGTAATTTTGTTACGTTGGTCGATATTTCTATTATTCATCGATTATAATCAATTACAATCGATCCTGTTATTCATTGATTGCAATCGATTTTGTTGTTCATCGATTATAATTGCATTGTTCATCGATTACAATTCGATTGTTCATCGATTACAATTCGATTGTTCATCGATTACAATTCTGTTGTTCATCAATTACAATCGTATTTATCATCGATATAATCGATTTTGTTGTTCATCGATTACAATTCTATTGTTCATCGATTACAATTCTATTGTTCATCGATTCCAATTTATTGTTCATCGATTACAATTTTATTGTTCATCGATTACAATTCTATTGTTCATCGATTACAATTCTATTGTTCATCGATTACAATTGATTCTATTGGACATCGAGTACATTACAAATCAATACAATAAAATAACAGGGATCGGTTGAATTTAAATTACAGTAAAACTTGTTCATAGCTCTATTCTTTTCGGTCTGGAGTGATGTGCTTATATGGTTATGTCGGAAATATTCAAATTAAATTGTATGCAAAACTGTGAGAACAGTCTGTCTAGCCGTTGCTGAGAAATACACGATTAAAATTTTTAATTTACGACTCATACAAATGTTCTATAGTAATTTAAAAAGTGTTTAAAGAACGCTCACGAGAAACACCTGTGGCTAACATTATTTTGTGTACGGTTTTATAAAAAATTTATATTCTTGGTGCGAATGTTAATGTCTCTTTGTAGGGTGGCGAATAAAGGGCGTTTGCTGGTGCGTTTGTTGGTTTAAGGTTCCTGGTATCCCAGCGATTATCCAAAGCAGGCCTGATATGATTACCTTCCTATCTAAATCTGTAATTGATTTCGGATACCAAACCGAAAGAACACTGTAACCGTCCCCCCCCCCCAACCCAACAAGCCAATCAGTGGCGACATTTTTTTCTGCTATAAACCAACAAACACACCCAGTTTCATTTTATTACGAATTTATTCCCCAATAATTTAGCCATTCACTAGAGAGCTTTTTTTTCGGTCTCGAATTTATGTAAATTGCCACTTAAATCGGTATTACTATTTTTTATTGCATATGTCATTGATCATATATAAAACGGTTGTGATATTATTGTTTTACAAATGTATGACAATTGGTTATTTTCTTTGTTAAAATGTGAAACATTTGAATATCCTGCATAATTTTATTGCAAATCTTATGTAAATGGGGTGAATGTACCTGTTTTAATGTAAATATTTTAAAGTTTGTTTTGTATGTTCTTGTTCAAGATATACTAATTAAGTTTAGAGAGATGTTCTAATGGCGCTCAATTATATAGTTTATATGTTTGTTTTATTTTCATAAAAAGATACGATTATGCCGTTATTCCGAGTATCATTCTGTGAGAAACATGGGGTTATTCAGGGTATCATTCTGTGGCAACTACGTGATTCTCAAACTATTCATATGACGTTATTCCGAGTATGATTCTATGAGAAACCTGGGGTTAACAATTTATTCATATGACGTTATACCGAGTATAATTCTGTGAGAATCATGGGGTTTTCAATCTATTCATAGGACGTTATACCGAGTATGATTCTGTGGCAACTACGAGGTTATAATCAATCTAACATATAACGTTAGTCCGAATATGATTCTTTGTGAAACCTGGGCTTAACAATCTATTCTTGTGACGTTATACCGTGTATCATTCTGTGTGAAACCTGGGGTTTTCAATCTATTCATATGACGTTATACCGCGTGTGATTCTGTGAGAAACATGAGGTTATCAATCTATCCATTTGACGTTATTCAGAGTATGATTCTGTGAGAAACTTGCGGTTATCAATCTACTCATGTGACGTTATAGCGAGTTATAATTCTGTGAGAAACCTGGGGTTTTCAATCTATTCATATGACGTTATTCAGAATATAATTTTATGACAAACCTGGGGTAATCATCATATAAACTAAATTTAGTTGTTTACGAGACTTTACAATGGGTGACCTCACAACCTTAATTCTAATTAACTTTTCGGAATTAAATTATCTGAATCCAAAAAATGGTGACAATCGAGTATCCCGTATGTTAAATTCGATCTCAGAGCATTAAGGCCAAGTATTATGTTTCCAAGTTTCAGCCGTATTTTGTGAACTAAAAAAGGTTTTGCTTGTCGCCAACTTAATTATACTCCGGGGGGAAACTTCTGTATCAATTTAACCATTGTTGATCTCGTTTTAACCAGTACTTTTTAGGGTCATTATATTTTTCATCTTATCACTGTGACTTACATTCTCGGTATCCCCAGTGGTATGGAGAAGAAATCAAATATTCCACGGAATTTTTCACAATTATTAACATATCACACTAGTCATTTATTGGCGTGACCTTCCCATTTCTGATTCAAGTCAGTCTTAAAAGACTCATCTCCTGTCGATAATACGAAATCCACGGTAAAAACCCAAGACTGTGCAAAAGCTAGGCGTACACCTTTTACCGAAACGAAAATGAAACACTAAATAAGAAGGGGTGTTGTCAACGTTCATTATACCAATCCTGTCTATACGTTCAAAATGGAAAACAATATTTCTAGCAAACTGTACATCGGATATTGCCGAGATATTTTCCAAAGGATAACCCATTCGGGTGTCTGTAGAAAAGCAGGCCCACTTTATTTTGATTGTTGGCCCCTTCTCTTAATCTCTTCTCTTTTGTAGACAGTTTGTTTGTCACCGGTATCCACCGTCCATGTGCGCAACTTGATGGAGCTCGCTGGCCACCATGAGGTTGTTCTAGAGATGCTGAACTTGTTAAAACTGAAAATTGCTGTCCCAGTGTTGTGGAGGGGGTGGGGATGGTCGAATGGTTAGAGCGTGCGCACTGTATCATAAGATCTGTCATTTAGTCGATTCCCCGCTTGTACGTGACTAGGAATAGGATCGCCTGCCCAACCTCGTGGGTTTTCTCCGGGTCCTCTGGTTTCCTCCTACTGCTGAAGACCCCTACGAATTATTGAAATCAAATTGAACCATGTATTAGTACCGAAATGACCTAGTTTTTGTCGACTGGATGTTAAACCCCATTTCTCCCTATCTCTCCCAGCGTTGTGGATAAAATATGTGATAATGATCATTTGTTTCGCGTCAGGAAAAATATGAGATAAACTCTATTAACAATGACTTGTAGCAACTCAGTGGTCCTGACATTTTTAAACTGGCGCGAGATTTAGCTCTATATATGGTAAACCACATTTCATTTATGAGATATGAACATCTTCTATTGAACTACAAAGGAGGCTATATAATTAAATGGGCACACGTGTAGGATAATTCATTTTCATAGTCATTTCAACATGGCGAATCATGTGACACTTAGTTGTAGGCATCAAGGCATGGTCATATAGACTATGTCATAGTTGTTGAATTGAAATCTTGTCGCCGATCACACATGCAACTGAACGTTTGCATTTCTCGCCAGGGAGACCTACAAACGGATTTGACCAGTTTTATTCCATTAAAATTTTATCTGAGAAGCCTTCTTTAATCTGATCTGTAGATCAATCAAAAATCGACTTAAGACAAAGTCTGGTTGACACAGCGAAATCTTCAAGAAAAGAAAGATTACTTGTTATTTAAACGATATCATATCTTATTTGTTATTTCTCTGCAAATAGAAGTATGACGTGCGATATTAAGATGTTTTCATGCAGTACGAGAATCATTTAAAAAAGAAAAAAAAAATTATACCGAGATTATATAAAATCAGTTTGGTCTATTTTTAAGCTTATATTCTGTTTTTTTGTTGTTCTTCAATGGGCGAGGAGTTAGGTGCGCGTCAAATCACATGGTTTTGTACGTGACAAGAATTAGGATCGCCTGTCCAACCTCGTGGGTTTCTGGGTCCGTCAGTTTCCTCCTACAGCTAAAGACACCTACGCGCAAGCGAATTACTGAAATAAAATTGAACAATATGTTAGTCCCGAAATGATCTTGTTTGTGTCGAGTGGACGGTAAACCGCATCTCACTCTATTTCTCTCTCTCTTTTTGGGGCTATTCTTCAAAAAAAAAAGCCAAGTACAATCGACATGAAACTTTGGCATGCTTATTCCTTGGACAATGGATAATCGATTGACAGACTTCGATTTCTAATATGACGTCACAATTCTAAGATGGCGGCGATAGTCCATGTAGTTTCGGATTCCTTAGACGCCATAGACTGCCTTGGAATATAGATGTCGTGTACCGATCGTTCGTAGTAATGGGTGCATTAGAAATCGGATATGGACGTAATGTTGAAACCGAAACCTTTAAGAGTCGACTGCGTAGACATCTGAAAACGCCCACTGAGAAATTACCCTTTAAATAACCGAGATTCGAAACTCTGCGACAATAGCTAATCATAATTGTCCAGTCTGTGAGTTAGTATAGATCCATTAACTAAAACCATTCTCATGTCGTTAAGATATTAAATAGTCACAATTTACAAGACCTAAAGGATATTTTAAGCGAAATCCCTGCTGTTCAGTAGTTTTACCCGTCTAGGCTCTTCTAAACCATGCGTGGTGCCAACTTCCTGTCTATCCAAACATGAAGTACTGGAAAGTGTCATAATTGATTCTGTCTGGTGTCATCCTGGTCTTGTTGGTTATGTGTGTGTATGTTAAATCAAAATGACATATCCACGCTCCTGGTAATATTCATCCTCGGTATTATTACACTCTAAAGATTGCCCTGTAGACTATACGGCCAGTTAACTATGCAAATCGTGGGTTCGGTCCAGACTATGTGAGTTCGCTTGTCTAATGTCATGGTTGGGTTGTTGGGGTGATGGTGGGGCGCCTATTTAATGTCATGGGGACGGGGAGGGGGGGCTCAGGGTAACCCAGATTTGGACTACTTTTTAATACTGGTGCGCGCAAGAGAATAATGGAAATAAAAACATGCCATATATTAGTCCCGAAATGACTCTCTATAAGGCCCACATACACGGTACCTGACCAACCCATGTCTCTCAGTAAGTTGTCAAAATTTTTAGGATTCTTTTTGTAGGCTGAATGCTTTGGGCCTGGTGGTTTTTGGTTTTCAAATTGGTTAGTTCCCGATCCGAATAATTAATTGAAACATATTTGTTATTTCAAATGGATTTGTAATTTGACATGCTTGTGTTATTTTACATGCATGTGTTATTTGAACCTAATTATAGAGCGTAATACTTTGAATCAATTTTTGTCTTTTCTACACAATGATTGATATTGCATTTAAGAAACATGCTATCAGTTGTTCAGAGTTTTATCCATTTTGTTTATTTTCTTGGATAAAGATTTTTTTCGCTGTATTCTATCTCACTTTATTCATATCACGTGCAATCTTGTAAAGTCCATGTCAACCGTCTTTATTGATGTTAAAGGGACATTTCGCTTATAAGAAATTGAATACTTGTCGACTTTTATATGTTTAATTTTCTTATTTTCAAATTGTCAGCCCATAAACTACACTATTCCCAACTATGGCAAGACAATGAATTTCCATTCCAAACTTGTCTACGGGGTGCTTATTCACTGAAGTCTGTATTCGTTTTTTCCTAGCCGACATGTCCCTTGAGATGATTTAATTTTGTATATGTAAATTTACCCAATCTATTATTACTATAGCACCATAATTGTCTGTATTGAATAATTTATTTCTACAAAATAAAACTAATTTTCCATTTTTCTTTAAAATAAAAACTTTTAAAACTAGCTGTGGGTTTGATTCAATTAATTCATTCTGTTACGCAAATTTTTCTATGGATTTTTCGCGATATATAATTGGCGGCTAAAATGGTTAAGAAAACTTCGTTTGAAGACTAAAAAAAACGACGTTTCGAATACGGGGTGTTCTGGAATTATCTTAATTAAAGCCATTTCAAAAGCTAAGCCGTCCGAGGATTGTCATCTTCACAATATTACGAATACTTCAATCGATCTATTTAACAACAATCGGCGGCTTTTGATTGGGTGCGAACAGAGAACAGCGCAGGTAGACAGAGAACAGCGCAGGTAGATATGCAGGATAACTAAATTCCAGACCATTTTCCCATATGGCCTCAATGATAATTATATATTAACCGTGATGAAAATACTTTGATTACAAGAAATTGTTATAAGAAACTCCATGATTATTTTCAAAATAAAAAACTTTCTGTAAAAATTTCGAAATTTCAAAAGACTAGGAAATTATTTTAAATGAAATGTATTCTATGTGCCAATGCCATACCTCCGATAAAGTGTCTTGTGCAGCTTGTGTACTCAACCTAGCACGACAAATTGTACACTCTTTGAAAAAATTAACTGCGAAAAAACTTGGTGTCCTCATACAGGATATCATCTATTCTAATCAACTTAAAGGGACATTATGGAAGATTAGTTAAAGAGCTGACAGTTCTCACTAATAGTTACAAACTAAATAATGTCAAGGGAATTTACTGAAAATTTCAGTCAAGTTGGTCCACTCTGAACCGAGATATGAGCGTTTGAATTTTAGGCCTAGCCTGGATCATCATTACTAAAGTCGGTACGATTATCCATTTTTGGATTAGATTATCTTGAGCGTTGAGCAGAAATAAAATGAAATGAAATGGGGTTTAACGTCCTACTGTTCTGCTCCGAACTGGGCTAATGAAGACGGGAGCGTTGAGCAGCAATTCAGATTCAAATCCAGTGAAATCAGACACATATGATAGCATCGAGAATTGATCAAGGTCTTTTCGTGTTAATAAATGTCTAATTAATAGTTTATATAACATTTCAGGCTTTATATAGGTCTCTGTATGCCGTGTGGTTGTTGTTCTTGGGGTTTAACGTCCGCTTCCACCGAGGGTGTATCGCAGGCCTAGAGATCTAAACCACAACCGTAAGTAAGAGGTACCGGACAACTAGATTGACGTTGTTGTTCTTAGTATTTAACGTTCGCTTCCACCGATAAGTTGTCTTATTTTCATTTGTATCATCTTAGCGCACGCATAGGGGTCTTTCCTCGTACGTAACTAACGTACGAAAATTAATTGGTGGCTAGATTTTTTTTCGAACGTATACAGTGAATGGCCATTTTGCTCAGTAATCCCAGCCAGAATTTGGCTATTTTCTAAATTTGCGTTAAAGTTTAAAATATTTGTTTTAGAACTGAAACACATTAACTATTAGTCAATCTCATTGCTAAAAACATCAACAGAATTGATTATGTATATCTGAAATAGACCCGACCTACGCACAAAATAGTGTAATATGGCGGCCTCTATGAACAACCCTCGCAGACGCTGTCATTGAAGACAACGTCAATTTTATGAGTTGTAGATGTTATTTTTTGTTGAAAAATCATTGGAAGAAGAGAAAACATGTTGGGACTGTACGAATTATATAGTCTTTATGGGTGCAACGGACACAATGCTAAAGATAAACCTATTGTTTACAATGTTGACCTCATGACCCATTGACGTCAATGTCATGACCTGTGATGTGTAGATCACGTGATATGGATATCATGGCTATTGACTGTGTCTGAGATACTTCTCCGCAGGTAGCGTGTCTCAGATGTTCAGAATGGGTCTTTCCTGTGGAGGAAACCGGAGTAAACCCACGAGGTTGAGAAGGCGCCCCTATCTCCAACCCACATACGCTCACACCAGGGATCGAAACCACAACCACAAGTCAGAGGCGACCGGCTAGCTGGAGGTCGAAGCGCGACACTCTACACCACTAGGCCAATTCCCCAGCCCCCGCTATAGGATGACCAAATTATTAGCCTCAAATACTGTGTGGCGTACGAAACTATAGCTCGAAAACTAAATGATAGCTATCTGTCTCCGTTTTGGTAGCGGGTCTCTAAGGACCTGTTTATATGGAAAGGTCTAACCCTTGTTGGCGAGTTAGCTTATCTAAACGAGCCCTGCCCTTATATTTAAATAAAGTTTGATTTATAGAATGGTATTTATAAGGGAAGTAGGCTGGCAGACCCTTTCAAACGGTCGGGAAGCCTGGTTAAAAGGGCCAGCTCACTTTTCATTTAAACATATTTCAAGACTTAAAAACGGGTCAACGCGTGCCAGTGTTCATTTCATTTATGACCCTGTGTCATATAAACTGTTAAATTGGTTAGCTCGGTTTTCTTACAAGGGCTGACCTTTTCATATAAACACCAAATCGGGATAATCCTTCATTTTTAGCCGATAGAGATGAGGTAAAATAGCTTGGTTTAAATAAACAGTTCAGTTAGCAGACTCGGGGTCCCAGGGCTGTCTCACATTTCAGGGCTAGCCCCTTCCATATAACCAGGCCCTTTGTTCAGAAGGAATATATGGTACAGGTTCAATCCATTGGCCTTTTAATGAAGGGTTAAAGTCGCCAAGTTGTGGAAGTTCAATTTACCCTTTTATTTGGGAGTAGTTCAGCTCTGAACGTGGGTCTCATTACACTCGACCTGTACGTTCAGGAACCACTCTATTGGAATCTTTGTCGATTTTACTGGACAACTTTTTACTGCTAAACGGTCGCGTGTCAGTCTCTGTAAGATCCTACCTGTTAAATATACACCCCCTTCTGCTAAAAAGCTTGGCAGAAGCCACTTAAGTCTAAATATAGGGTAAAGCACAAATTTACGTAACTCGCTCATATATACTGAGCGCCATGGAAAACGCATCACTTTTTTTTCCCAAATATTTTATTACTAGGTGGTTTTGTATGTATAATATTATGCCATACTATGAACTATTGTTTCACACAATACTCCCAAACGCAATATTCACGTGCAGCATTGTGTGTGAGCCCTTTAAAAGCATGTTTTCAACTTTATGTGCAGTTGGACGTGTGAAGGAATCGAGCTAGAGATGCCGAGGCTTACTGAAAATCAACGGAATGAAGCCATGGGAATGTCCCGGGCAGGCATGTCTACACGTGCTATTGCCAGACACTTCAATTGTCATCAGTCCACTAATGTAAGGTTGGTGGAACGTGTTCGAGTTACTGGATCAACACGTGACTGTCAACGTCCTGGTCCACAACGCGTTACAACCCAGGCTCAAGATCGCTACATCCGGGTCACTCATCTGCGTGACAGATTCCGCCCAGCGACTCGAACAGGTGCCAACACCGTAAGACGTCGTCTAAGAGAAGTAGGACTCCGTGCACGACGACCTTATGTTGGAGCTATCCTCACCGTCAGCGGCGTTTGATATGGGCTCAAGGACACCAGACATGGAGCAGAGTAGACTGGCAAAGTGTGCTCTTAAGTGATGAGAGTCGCTTTCATCTTTATCACGCTGATGGCCGTCAACGTGTGTGGAGACGTCTTGCAGACTGCTGCGTCTTTGAAACGAATCGATGGGGTGGGGGAAGTGTAATAATGTGGGGAGGCTTCACATTTCATCACCGGACCGCCCTACACATTTGCAGGGGTCGCGTTAATGCTGTAGCCTACCGTGATGAGATCTTGCAACCAATTGTTGTTCCGATGTTTCGAGCGCGCCCACAACTTCAGCACTTCCAACAGGATAATGCACGTACGCATACCGCCCGTTTTAGTATGGACTACCTGGCTGCTAACAACATCAAAGTCTTGGCCTGGCCAGCCATGTCTCCGGACATGGCACCGATAGAACATGTCTGGGATGAGAATGGACGCCGTCTGTATCGGAGACCACAGGTGCACACCATTGCTGCTTTAGAAGCTGCTCTTGTCCAAGAATGGAACAATTTGCACCAGGCCTTCTTTCAAACATTGGTAAATTCCATGCGACGTTGCTGCACAGCGTGCGTAAGAACCCGTGGAGGACACACGCGCTACTGACATCTGTGTCATACTTTTGATTTTGACCCCTCTGATTTTGTACCGTTGATTACAGATTAAACATCCATAAGTGTACAAATGTGTTGTTATTGATATGTTCCCATTTGAATATTGTTCACAATAAGAAGCAAAATAAATAAGATATGTTTACAGGATCATTTTGTTATACGAAAAACTAAGTGATGCGTTTTCCATGGCGCTCAGTATAGTCTTGCCATTGGAACTTCAAGCGTAGTGGGTTTTCTCTGTGTCTGTGTTTTCAGGTTTCCTTCCATTACTCGCTGACAAGTACTTTTAGTTTTGACCCCTCTGACTTTGTACCCTTGATTACAGATTAAACATCCATAAGTGTACAAATGTGTTGTTATTGATGTGTTCCCATTTGAATATTGTTCACAATAAGAAGCAAAATAAATAAGATATGTTTACAGGATCATTTCGTTATACGAAAAACTAAGTGATGCTTTTTCCATGGCGCTCAGTATAATGACGAAACGAAATTTAGGTAAGCAGAGGGGGGGGGGGGGGGTCTTTGCTAAGTTGAGAATCTTCAGTTATTTACTGTTGAACGCTTAAGGAGAGTGTAATGTTTGCAAAATTTTGGGATGACATTTAATGATTTATACATTTGTAAAAAAAAAAGGCGAGATATAGGCCTCCTGACGTGTTTCGCGGAGGATTGAGACAATGAGAGATGAGATTTCTTGTCCAAGTTATAACAAACGTCTTCCGCGCTCTATAATGCATTGTTTAACGGCACTAAATCCCGGGGCGTCACTCTCCGTGAGTAAGCTTATAAAAAAAGAATTCATGGTTTCAACAAATGGGGGCAACTCCATAATATAAAAAAAATAAAAAATAAGATTGATTTACAGTTGATGGGAGGCAACTCTGATTTACGTGTCTTCCTTGTTTTCTACGTCACCCACAGGTATTAAAAAAAAAGAAAAGAAAAAAAAAACCTGTTTAAGCCATTCAGCAATCGAATATTTAACATGTGACAAATTAAATTACTGATTTCTGCAAAGCCAAAGCGGAAAAGGATCATCATCGAACTCCGCCGCGATATTTACCAAATGCACATTCTAGCTCAATTAGATGCAGAGTTATTGTGTTCCAAAGGAAATGACAGCCAACTGATTTGACTTAGCAGAAAATGTGCATCGCCTAACTCAGTAAGTCCATTCAACTAATGAACGTCTACATTAAGACCAAACCCATAATAGAGTCATTGGGTCAATTCAAGTCCCGAGTTACTCTCGTGTTAAGGTTGTGTTGTAGTGGTGTATAACTGGTGTTCTTTTCAGTACCTTAACCTGAGCCCCTCGATTTAGCACTAGTGTTTACACCAGTGTCTAAACTAGGTTAATACCAGTGTTAACACTGGTGGAAAATAAAAAAGACCTATAACAGTAGTGTTATCTTTAAATGTTGCACTGTGTTTTTGTCTTCTGTTATTTGGATGAGCTGGCCAACTTAAAAAAAAACCAGCGGTTGCCAGGCAGGATACGCCCGCCCACCTTTTGCACGAGATGGATAGAGAACAAGCTAAAAACAAAAGTCACTTTTCGTTCAATCAGGGGTCATAATCCAGAGAGTTATGGTCTGAAATGCGCAAATATCGACAGGGACTGAGAACATAAACATATATTTTAAGTTTCATCAAAATTGGATAAAAATTGTGACCGCTAGAGTGTCCACAACCTTCGTATTACATACTTTTACACAATTTGCGTACAAAGAGCGGCCATTTTGTCAGGTAGTTTTGATCCGATTTTCACGAAATTGGAACTCAACCGTCATGAGAGTGTAACGGTGATCAATTTATAAGTTTTTTTTAAAATTGGATAAAAATTGTGACCGCTAGAGTCCACAAGCTAAAAAAAGGGTTTTTTCATACAAACAGGGGCCATAATCCAGTTACAGTCCGATATGCGAAAATATAAAGAACCACGATCTTTAGATTATAAACATACATTTCAAATTTCATCAAAATCGGATAAAAATTGTGACTTCTAGAGTGTCCACAACCTTGTGTACAAGGAGCGGCCATTTTGTCTGTCAGTTTCGGTCAGATTTTTACAAAATTCGAACTCAACCTTCATTGATTTGTAACGGGGATACATTTAAACGGTTTTTAAAATTGAATACAAATTGTGACTTCGAGGGTGTCCACAAGCTAAACGTGCGATTTTACGAACAATCAGTGGCCATAATCTAGAAATTTATCAACAGGTACAAAGATCTTTGTGATATAAACATAAATTTAAAGTTTCATCACCTTGATATGCTATATTTCTTACATTATTTGCATACGAGGGGCGGCCATTTTATCCGACAGTTTTGGTCCGATTTACACGAAACGGTGTAACGGTGATCAATTTATATGTTTTTTTAAATATTGGACAAAAATTGTGACCTCTAGAGAGTCCACAAGCTAAAAACGTGATTTTGCGTACAATCAGGAGCCATGATCCAGGAAGTTATGGTCCGATATATACCAATATCGAAAGGAACCGAGAGCTTAGGGAGACAGACCTATATCCCAAGTATCGTCAAAATTAAAATCGGATAAAAATTGTGACCTGTTGAGTTTCCACAAACAAATTGTGGACGGACGGACGTCCAGGGGCAATGGCATAATACATCCACATGAAAATGTGGGATTATAAAAAAACAGCAAAAGAAAGGCAATTGAGGAAAAATAACCGCTTCAATGAAATTAAGTAACTAGGATCTATGTAGAATTGTTGTAGTCTCATTTGATCATTATTCAGTCGAAATTTCCAATCTGAAATTTCTCGTAAATCAGCAGGCTTGCAGTCAACATTTCTTTGTCTTAAACATGCATTATGCAAGAGCAAAATCTGCATATTACAAGTCTTTCTTTAGGCCTGAAATGTTATCTAAATTATCAATTAGACATTAATTAACTTATCCAGACCATAATAAACTCTCGATGTCAAGGTTAGCCTTCGATATAGGCTGGATTAGATTCCTATATGCCGCTAACGGCCAAAGATAATTAAATCAGAAAAAGTGGATAATCGAGACTATGCTGTTTATATTAATGATTTTAGTAATGATAACCGAGACTATGCAAAATTTTCACCGGTTTCTTTCTCGGCTCATAGTGGATCAATTGGACTGAAATTTTCAGCAAATTACCTTTACACTATCTAGTTTTTAACTATTATAGCGAGAACTGCCATCTCTTTATCTTATCTCCCATAATGTATCTTTAAGTTTTGGGTAAAAATGTCATTTTAAGCCTTAAAACTAAATCTAAAAGTCTTAAAAGAAATTCTCTTCTTGCCGCCTGTTGTTTCGCACATTTTTTTTTATGTAATTAGAAATAAAATTGCACAAAGCTCCTTGTCTTTACATTTTTTTCATGTAAATTTGTTTCTTAACTCGGGAAACTGATATTGAAAATATAGACAAAGTGAGGGGCTCAGGAAAAAGTTAGTGTTTGGGTAACACAGATACGACACTGGTGTTCATGTTGTGTAAATATATCCATGTTTAACACAACCTCAACACCACAGACCTTAACTCGGATTGATTTCAAATATAGAGGGGGTCTGGGGTTGAGTTAGCACAGCGTTACACCAGTGCTACACTGATCTAACTGGTGTTAAACACTACACCACATTAACCCAGGACTTGAATTGACCCATTGTGTACAAATGGTGTGGGGGATGGACGAACCCATTCTATCTAATAGTTGCTTTCTCAGTAGTAATCACAAATTGTTGTAATTCATTGCAATGATCCAAACAAAGAACTTTACAGTAGAACAAATGATGACTTCTGTGGTTAAGTTTCTATAAGATTGAAACTGAAAGTTTTAAGCAAACTGACTTCCACATAATCCTTAATCATCATATGGAGGTTGTCACATCAACAAAATTAAGTACTTTTTTACAAAAAAAACCCCAACCCAACCCTAATTCAAAGCAGTTTGGCTCCTTTAAGCTACCCAAATGGGCTACATATAGGCTATCGCCAGCCACGATACCTAAGCTAATGGGAGTCACGGAACGCTGCCTTAGCCAGTGAAGTCACTGGAAGCTACCTTAGCTAACTGAAATGACAGGAAGCTGCCTTAGTTAATATAAGTCACAGAAAACTACCTTCGCTAATGGAAGTCACCTGAAGCTTTTTCAGCTAATGGAAGTCATAGGAAGTGTAGCGGGGTATAATTTGCTACCTTAGTTAATGGAAGTCAACTTACCTAATGGAAGTCATGGAAAGCCGACATAGCTAAGGGAAGTCATGACAAGCTACCTTACTTAATGGAAGTCCCGGAAAGCTGAATGTCACAAAATGTTGAATTAACTAATGGAAGTCAAATGAAGCTCATTTAGCTAATGGAAGTCATATGAAGCTATCTTAGCTGATGGAAGTCATAGGAAGCTAACTTAGTTGTCACACAAAACTACCTTAGCTAATGGACATCATCTGAAGCTTACTTAGCTAATGCAAGTCACAGAAGGCTACCATAGTTAATGGAAGTTTCGGGAAGCTAACTTATCTAATGGAAGTCATGGAAAGCTGACATAGATACATGTAATGCAAGTCACAGAATGCTATCTTAGCTAATGGAAGTCACCGACAGCTACCTTAACTAATGGAAGTCATAGAAGGCTACCTTAGCTAATGGAAGTCAGGTGATGCTACTTTAGCTAAAGAAGTCACAGAAGGCTACCTTACCGTGAGTAATCATGAGTGTTAAGCTACCTACTTGTATTGCGTGGTGATGCAAGGAAAAAGGTACCCTTCTATTTACAGAAAATAAAACTATATCTCCACAAGCACTCATCTTGACCCAAGGAACAAACAACACATAATGTAACAGAGCACTTTTAATTATTTCATTTTTTGGAGATATTGACAAGAGAGGGGACCTATCCAGTCCACTTCTCTATCATACAAGTAAAATCACTTGGTATATAAAAACCCAACACTATGGTTCACCACCGTTCCCCAGCAAAACACACATTTAAAATCATCACCATTCAAAAAAAAAGTAAAGCTCTCATTAAAATGTCATCAATAAACAGTTTTGTACAGGGTTTTCTTTTTTTTATTCTGTCAAGTTTCTAAAACAACCAGTTTGTAATTTATACAATTATACACAAGTTTTAACCACATACAAATAATACCATTCATAACCTATACACATACACTCAGGTAATTATACACTGGTACAATCACACACGCAACAGGATTTCAGTAATTTCTTAAATAAACATTTATATTATTTCAAATACACATATTCTTGGCAATGTTTCTCAGGTAAATCAGTATATTTCATGTAGTACTAGTAAATACTAAATTGATTCTAGAAACACATACATCTACATAGTAAGAACAATTTTCAAGATTTTTATGAAAGGGCTAATCACTTAAGATGTACATGTGGCCATTGTGGATGTATGGAATATCAGACCCTCCAAAATATCATACTGCTGTATACCAATATTGCATATTTTGGTAGGTGTTTTACTTCATACACTCAATAACAAAAATTATGTATTATAATAATTACAATACAGTAGGCCTATAATATCCTTAAATGACATTCAGAAGTAGAGATTAAAGATTCACAACTTATAGATTTACTACTTCTTGCTATATTACTGTATATATGTTTCAATACTCTCACACATATCTTTATCATGTAACTCAAATAAAATAAAGATACCTGCCTGAGTGTTGAAATAAGAAGTCGGAAATCTATATATAAAGTTGTTAAGACAGCAGAATATCAAGTTAAATCTAAGAGAGAATAAATGCTTCTTCACACTATCCCAGTCAGAAAGGTTTTATGCTCACAGTATTTCAATGTTTCTATATACACTATACATATATTACGGTTCACCTAGTAAAATAATCCTAGGTCTTTAGTTGTTCACGACTAATACATGTATGTAGTAACCTTAATTTTAAAAATAACCTTTCCGACTCGAGTTTTTTTTAAAGATTTCATATATTCTACGTGCATAGTAGTTTGGAATTTACAATGTTTATTATTACTGTTTAAATTCTCATGGTCTATACTCAGGGGCCTTATTCAAGAAAATTGTAACTAAAATATTTAAGGCATGTTGTTCATTGGCCAAGATCAGAAATTTGTGCTTTTATTTTAGAGCTTAGCCAATAAATGATCAATTTTCTTCAAATATTTTAGCTTTTTGTTTTCATAAATAAGGCCCCAGGTGTTTTTCTAATATTGCTTATTATTAATATTGAACTCTAAACAGGGGTAGTAGCGTAGAGAGAAAGACAGAAATGGGGTTTATTGTCCACTCGACACAAACTAGGTCATTTTGGGACTAACATATGGTTCAATTTTATTTCAATAATTCTCTTTCTTGTAGGGGTCTTTAGCAGAGGGAGGAAATGTTAGATCATGCAGGAATTAAGTTTTTTTCAGATGATATAAAGAAGTGAACACCAACTGACTGAATCCAAGTCACATGATATCTTGGTTTTGTGTTCTTAATTAAACGTTAAATAATTAAATCAAATGAACTTAGTCGTGAAAATCAGATATTGTTTGAAAGATGCACGATTGTGATCAACGACATAAAAGATTTAATTACAACCCATGATTCAGTATGACCAAACAGAAACATACATGCATGAATGACACAGTGGCGAACCCAAATGTACAGATGAAGTCTTAAATTTGTAAATTAATGGGGATAACTCAAAAACTAATTAATTACGGTATTTATATTTTAATTGATATATACAAAAGATCTATATAAACAAAGAAAGCCTGGTAATGGGATTTCTACTCAATACACTTTAAATGAAATTTTGAGTCCAAAAAATAAGGCAACAGAACACCTCAAATTTTGAGAGTGACTGGATATGTTTCAATCAGCAAACCAATGATGGATGTTGTTTGTTTTTTTTTAATAAGTTTTACTAGAGAATATTTTAAATAACTTAAGTAAAAGCAATATTCATAAACCTTTCTTTTTATATTTGTGGTGACATGTTTACAGTTACAATGTTAATTCACTCAATAAAACAACAACCCTAATTTTAAAATGTAAATATACAATTAAAATTGACCAAAAGAAATGACTGATATGTGATCCATAGCTGAACATAAAAGTGAAATAAAATAAATAATTAAAATAAATTTTATAGAATAAAATACCTTTAAGAATATTATAGATTGCCCTCCATTTTGGAATTAAGGTCATACAAAAAAAATATGCTGTTTCTCAGATACTGATGCATTACTTAAAACGAACTGCATGATCCGTTTTTATTTAAGAAAAATAAAACAGTTTCATGAATTACATTTGTACCATAAGGAATTCTGATTCAAACTGGAAGTGTATCATAGGCTTAATTACACAACCCTGATTAATGCTATTCACAATTATAAATGATACTGAATATTCATTCATTGCCCTGATGACATAAAACAGTGTCTTATAATGTGATGCTTATGATACATGTAAATCATGCACAAGAAAAACAAGCCAACAGTGTGGCTGATGTTCCCTGACAAATTGAAAAAGTAATAAGATGACACACATTTCTTAATTGCATATTTATCTTTTTATAAAGTAATGATCATTTTGTTTATCAGTGCTTAGACAGATGCAGAAAATGTTCATTATTGAACTAAGTCAAGGTACATGTCGTATTGATGTAATGAAACTACAGGAAATGCACATTATCAAACTTAGTCATGGTATTGATGTAATGATATATGCCAAGTTTCACCATTCTCACTCTATTAGAATCAAAGTTGTCAAGTCTCAACCAATCAATTTGCTCATCACTCTGCTTAACCTGACTCAAAAATCCAAACTGAGTCAAGGTATTGTTGTAATGAAACTATACAACAAGTATTTGTATTGTGTCCTAAAGCAGTGACCAATCAAATTGCGTATCTCTGCTTAGCTTAAGGAGAATATGCTCATCGAACTCAGTCAAGGAATTCACCTAATAAACACCTACACCAAGTTTGAAAACTCTAGCTCAATCAGAAGCCGAGGTTTTGTGTCCCAAAAGTGTGACGGACTGATGGACGGTCAGAACCATTTTAATTGTCCCATGCTTTCTTTGAAAACTTCCCTCCTGCATCAGATATTTTGGAAGAATTGTCCGAGAACCAGAATGTTTTTGTATGCCCTAACAGAAAAAGAAAATAGAAATGATTATTATACAATTTTATGCCCTCATTAAAAGAATTTATATCTAAAACACATACGTTGATAATCAGATATTAAAATATATTCTAATAAATAAATCAACACAAAACAAATTTCCATAAAATTACACCATTTTTAAAATTACTGAAATCCATGCCAGGAGTCATTTTATCTGAATTTACACATTCGATGTCCCATTACTGCAAACACACGTAATAATCTCACACACTAGTCGTTCGTTACTCAATTGATCGGTCATAACAACACGATATACACACACACATCCTAATAACATATTTGATGACTGGATTCAAGCACAGATCTTACAAACGTTTTTTTTTTTATCAGCAGAAGATAAACACTGACAATACAGGTTTATTATGTGCCTCTTGTGCTGTCTTATTTCAAACTTGAATATATATATATATATAATAACAATGTCTTAAGACTTAAGCATCAAATACTTGTCCAAGTTGGGGTACGACGGGGGGCAGGGGCAAGATGTTTAATAATATTCACAATTCAGTTTCACCTTTATTTCGACATGTACACAACTTGTTGAACGTCTTGTCTGCCCCTGGAAACAAATCAGGGGCAGATAATTTGTTGTTGATAAGTTGTTGAAGATAAAGCTCAATATCCACAATTGGGTTTTTTTTCTTTTTTTTGTTGCTCATCACAGCTTGAAAGATAACATTGTTAAATAGGTGTGCACAATACAAGGTGATGTTTACCGTAACATCCTTTTTAAAATTTCTAAGATCACATTTGACATCAAAGAATGAAGGATTATAGAATTAGGGATGCGGTTAGCTATAACATATAGATTTCTCTGTACTTTCAGAAAATATTTCCACTATCATAGCAAAATGAAGAACGTTGCCGCAAGATTAATAATAATAATAATTGTAGTATCCATGGCTCTTTAATTTAATTAACCAATGAAGAACTAAAGTCAGAAGATAAGAACATCCAGTGAAGTGATGGCTACGACTAGGAGAATTTATCGCCAAAAGTAAATGCGGGTGACTGTGAGAGACTGAGTGTAGGAGCCTGAAGTGACTGGGATGATTGAGATTGTGAATTACCACCAGCACCAGACATTCCACTTTGTATAAAATCTATGTTGTGCCTGAAAAAAAGAAAGAAAAGGGGGTTTAGGTTTAACATCCACTTCAAACAAACTAGGTCATTTTGGGACTAACACATGATCTAATTTTTATTTCAGGGTCTGCAGCAGTGGGAGGCAATGGGAGGACCCCACCCTAAGTCTTGGATCAAATCCACACCACTCATTGACAAAATATTATGACATAAAGCACATCAATTGGACCACTTGCATTAAAACCCACAGAGTACAGTAACACACCACCAGGATCGACAGGACAGAATTCTGTGTCACTAGGTTGCAATTTTATTAATTCAGAACAAAAAGCAAGCATCTCCTATTCATCAACCATTTAGCTTGGTTCTTCTCTAATCCGAACGCCAAACTACAGCAGCAGTAAGAATTCCCAAATTGTTTATTTTCCTATGGCCAAAAGTGCTAAGTGAGGATGAATAATATGTCATGAATAGCAGCTTTCACACAATCACAAATTGAAATTCAATCTGTCAAGACCTCATGTATCACACAAAGATTTGTTCTGAATCTTACAACAGCAAAACTTACTTTGATTTTAAAGATGCTGGTTTCAAATAATCATCTACACCTAGGTTCAAAACATCCGGTCGATATTCTTTTTTATATTGTAAACATTTCCTAATAAATGACTGAAATGAAAATAGTCATCAGTTAACATATATAAGTAAAAAAAGTTACATGTATCTTACAAACCAGCTCAAGTTATCTAAAATGAAACATACAACTGTTGTGATTATTTTAATATAACAATAAATCAATCTAGTTAAAATACAGATCTATATTTTGTTTCGTTTTTTTTATACTTTTGATGGCCTACACTACATGAAGATCTGACTGGTTGTAGTGGAAGGTCGCGTCAGGGGTCATATACGAGCAGCTTTTGACCCTATGACGTCAGACATTGATTAATCTATCAGTGTTGACGTTTCTAGTGGTTTACCTATAGTTCCGTGCACAGCACACCTAGAACTCGCCGTAACAGACTGTTTCATTAGCTAATCCTTCACATCAATCAGAATGTGGGTTATATAACAACTCTTCCAGATCCTAGTGTAGCAAAGACAATTAAAACGAAATTTTGAACTATAAAAAAACTAAACAAAATAGGATCTGTGTTTTAATCAGATTGGAATAAAGTTTAACCTATGCATTGTTATAATATAATGTGAATCACCACACACAGTCAGACTACATCAATACTTACCTTGGCTTCTGAACTAACTGGAGGTTTTGAGGGAAATTCTACTTCTGTTGCTTTTAGTATTGTATTTTCTTCCAAGATAGTTGCCTGAGATAGGTTATGTCCAAATGGCTGTAAAATAGGAAACATAAAAAATACCAGGTGTGCTCGATTGTGTTTCCAGAATGTTCCAAATTTTGTGTATTGCAATCGAGTGTTGCCAGATAGAATGCTACCACAGTTTCATCGTCCCAATAACAGACGTGGTTTGAGTACCGGTAGTTTCTTGACGTAATCACACATGAGAACTTGTTTCAGCTACAGAGATGGATTGAGAAAGGATTGTATTCCCTAGACGGTTGTAAAAATTTATCTTTGAAAGCCCCATGAAAGACATCTTCAATAGAAGGTTTATCTCAATTTAACTCCATACATCTTATCAAGGCCTTAACATAATACCCTGCATATTTCAGCACAGATTTTGATTGGCTACTGACCCATCTGGGGAGTCTATCAGATTTCTCGATCATTGCGAACACCAAGTCTCGCTCTTTCCAGCTAAAATGTCTACCTGTTATAATCGAGTTCAATGTCAAGGTTTCCATGGAGGTTGCCATGTTTGATTTAAGTGTGTTTGTGTCACAACCTCTGATTGGACACTAATCGTTCACGTGTCTGCATTAAAGGGAGATAACGTAGCTATATGTTTGGAAATTGCAGACCAGTCTAGCAACGTCCAGACGTTGTAAAACTCACAGTCGTTGTTGCTTCAGGAACATGCATGAAAGAATACCTTCTTGGTCGGAAAAGTTTTAGTTTAATGACGGGATTACCATAAGCCTTTAACATGCACTAGTTATTTGAATAAAATAGTTATTTGATAAAGTAATAGAGATATATTATATGAAGGGCTGTTACATACCTTTTTACCATATAAACATTGATAAAATATCACACCTACAGACCAGACATCTACCTTGGAGGAAATCTTTGGTGGAGTTTTACCTACGACAAAACATTCTGGGGGAAGATACCTGAAAATAACATTAAAATACATTTACAGTCTCTTAACACCATTGGAGGTTTTGTCAATCTCTTGCAAACTTCAATATTGTGGAAGTCGAATCTCAAACAGGAATATCATTAAAAAAAGGGTTAAATTCCATTCAGTATTTGATATGATGAATTGAAAATTAATCAACCTTCGGCATTCACCGCAGTAAGGATATAGTCAAAATAATAGCCACTTTCGATTGACCTCTTACCAATCCAGGTTGCGAAATAACGCTTGTCTACTTGTTAAATCCAAGTAACATTTACAAATGACAAGCAGGAAACAAACCTACTTATCGCCGGTGACTAGAATAATGTTTATAAAAGAATCTGTTAAAGTCGTAATGTCATTGGCTCTTCATCAATATTATATAACTCCATTGCAAAGAGTTTGATTTTTTTGTATTAAAAACAAAAATCAACCCCTTGTACCAATCTGACTGAATCCCCCCAAAAAATTAAAAACACACCCAGAGGCTTTAAAATACATCACAAATCATCACTATCATAATATAAATATAACCTGGGATCTTTACTTCCAATTTTTATTACACAGGGCCTTGGTTTATTTTGCTCGGACTGCTTTTTATTTTTGCAAAAAATTATTCATAACAGTAAATAAGAGGTTCAAGTGCCTTAATCGGCCACTGATTAAGGAAACCGTTATGTGTGCAACAAATATTTCACTTTGTGAGAATTTACATAAATTTGCCAATCAAGGCGCTTCTGTCCTATTTACATTGGGTCCAGCAACATGGTTTGAATAAACACCTCCCAGGCAACATTCCTACCAAAGTTTGTTCAATTCGATAGTTTTCAAGGGGAGATAATACAAATAAGCTTACCAGTAGGTTCCAGCACCCTGGGACGTTAGGTCCATCCCTATATCTGGAGAGTAAAATTCATCATCCATGATTTTACTCAGACCAAAATCGGTGATTTTAATTTCACCGCTAACTGACCCACTTCCTAATAAAATATTACCTACAAAAAATTAAAACAAACGTTAATATCTCAATATAAGATAGGGACATCAATGGCTGTTAAAGAAAACAAGGATAGGATGGGAATGCGGTTTATCAACCTATCAACATAATACTTTTGTCATCTGGAGACTAGCTTTTTGTCAACAGTCAGAAGTGTTATGCTATGAAGGAGAATTTTGCCCAGACAGTGACATTTACCCTATGCGAAATCATAACCAAATATCTTGTCTTGTATAACTTTCAGCGTTACCTGAAATAACTGTAAAATGTGATCTAAATATTCTGAATATCAATAGAGGTCTTCCTTTTTGTGGCGCTCCTCCCAACCGACGAATCTGGTATATTTAAGTATTGAGAATTATGCGTTCGAAATTTGCGATCTGTTATATCTGTGGCCATGTATTAATAACATTTCTGTAAATGGAGTTCGGTGTCCTCATGTATATGTATGAAATATTAAATCAAATGTTATTATTTGATAGCCACAGAGATAACAACAGGGCAAATTTAAAACGCATAACGCAACGTTTTGATCCATAGAACAATCACTACAAATATAACGAGTAGAGTGATCATGAGAATGATTGGCTGGATGTCGGGGAGGACATTGAAGGTGGGTGTATAAAAACAGCCGTCCCTGAGAGGTGGGGATATAGACATTCTTTTTTTCTGTCTCTGGAACAGCCCTCACTGGTTTGAAACAGCCCTTTGCCATCAGTATGCTTGGTTTTATCCAATTCGATTTCACTATATATCCAATTTACAAATTACGATCCATTCTGCATCCATTCTTACCAGGTTTCAGGTCATAATGTATCACAGGTGGTTTGATCTCATTGAGATATCTCAAAGCACTAACAGTTTGGCAAATTATGGAACGGGCCTCCTTCTCTGGAATGCACTTATTCTGTTTAAGATAGAAGTCAAGGTCATTGCCTTCACAATATTCTAACACTGTACAAAATCTGAAAAATAAGAACAAAAAAAATTAAATAAAACAAAGTGAATGGTGTTAGGCGTCTCAATCATTAAAGTCGCCAAATTACAGCAACATTGAATCAAAATTGTCAAATTCCCGTTTGTAGCATTCTATAGAATACATTTACTGTACTGACCAACGTTATTCTTTATCAAACAAATGATTTATTAAAATCATTTAAAAATAAAGACATTCTGCCCCTAAAAAAAAGATTCCATATTTAAAACGTAGAGCTTTGTAAAATCAATTTGGAATTGTAAATTTTAGTGTATGCAAGCAACTTACAAAATTAAAAAGAATTCTTTATACTTACGAGTTATTGTCAATTTCAAATACATCATAAAGTCTAACTATCCTAGGGTGGTTTAAACTCTTATGAATATTATACTCCCTTAATGCATGTCTGTAATAAACAACCATATTATTATAAAGTGTTATCAACAAATTTAATCATCTGACTGTAGATCAGATCTTTTGTTTCAGTCATATTTACACTTTTTGATTGACAGGCATGAAAATTGAATGACTAGAAAACATACCAGTCATTCAATTTACATGGCACAAAATTAGAATTTAAAATAATTTTACAATAAATAAAATACTTGAATTTTATTTTTTTAAATTGGACAATGCTATATTTTCCACTGGCATATTTCTGTATTGGTAGCACGTAAAAGGATCCCTCGACAGTTGAAACTTCAAATGAAAAGTATGCCAAAGACTGACTGGTGCAGAACAATGGTCATTAAAGTCCATTTCATTTAATTGTTATTTGGGGATTTGTAACGATATCAATGGCAAAACAAATCACAGTCAAGTTTTAACACATTTTTATCCACTGAGTGCCAGATATACGACACAATGCACTTGTTTTAAAAACACAAATATTGAAATGTTTACAACAAAATATTCAACTCACTTGATATAATTAGCTTTCTTATCTTCCTTCCATTCTTTATTAAGTTGATGTATTTTACACGCTACGTAACGCTGTTCTTTTAGATCAAACCCTTTATGTACTTCACTAAACCCCCCTTTACCCAACAAACTTAACAACAAATAACGTTCCGCTAATATAGGATGTTCTTTAAACCTGTAAATAAACAAACAAAATCATTCAATTCGTAGTTTGAGTTTCCGCAATTCAATATTTATTTAGTTTCAACAAAGCCAGATATTTGAGTGCCATCAAGATTAAGTTTCAACAAAGGCAGACATCTGAGTGCCATCATAATAAGACTTTAGTGTTCATCATTTAATGCATTCAATTACCTTTTGTTTCCCAGGTAAGATTTAACAAATGGAATGGGGTTTAATGTGACGCGTCACCATAATATTTTGGTCATTTCAAGACTAATATATGGTAATCTATATTTCTGTTTACGTGGGCAGTAAAGAATTTTGATGGATTGCACCATTTCAAATCCCCCCCCCCCTTCAATTCTTTGAATGTGTACACAGGTGATCTTGGTTTTCCATTCCAAAGATTTTTCTCCGCCCATACCAGGGGATTAACCTGGGATATTTTACCAGGTCATTTCAGGACTAACATGGTTCAGTTTTATTTCAATAATTCGCTTGCGTGTAATGGTCATTAGCAGCAGGACCCGGAGAAAACCCCACTCATGTACAAGTGGGTAATCGAAACCACGCACTTGACTCAATGACAGACTTTATGAACTAACTCGCACGCGTTTAATAATTCGGACATCCAACCCCCACTGGATTAGAAGAAGTACACAAACCTAGAATTATCTTCATTATGTATTCGTTTTAATTCACGGATATGAAGATTTCTTTCTCGTTCTAGTTTTTCTAATTCTAACTGTAAGTCTGCATCTTCTTTTTTAAGAGAGGCTTGCCGCAATTTCAATATTTCATCTTGCTCGTAATATTCTATAATTGATAACCTGAAAGAACAAATATAACATTTTAACTACTTCTTGTGTCTGTGAAAATATTTTCACAAATGAATTATTGTGGGTCAACCGTCTCTTGAACTTTGACCTAGACAAAAGTCTAAAACCTACTTTCATAATCCATATCAATAGTATTTTGCATAGCGGAAGACTAGTGAACTGCTTTTCTCTCAAGATGATTAAATCTTTACTTCAGCACAGAATGGAATACTGTTTAACGTTTCACCAACACAATAATGCCGTCATTTTCTGACCAACATCTGGTCATTAATATGACTAGTGAGAATCAGGCACTTGCCAACTGTTCTGTGAGTGGGAAAAGACAGGGAACTGTTACGAATTATTTAGACAGCTAGCTGTCATTTCAATCGCTTTGTTTACATCTAGGCCTTTCGCCGGTCTCGTTATCACGTTAAACCGGAAGTGTACTTTCATGGTGGAATTTAGCTTATTTTCACAATAAATACATATTGTCAATAACCTAGAATAGTGTTTAAACACGTGATCATTGAAAATAAATCAAAAACACCAGAACTTACGGTTTTTCACCAGGTTTTATGAAATTATCGTGTTTTGAGTTTTTATTAATATTTGCAGGCGGTTTACGTTTTACTAATATACGCCGTAGCCTGTCTATATCTTCTTTCTCCGTGGCTATCCTCTCTTGACATCTAAAAAGTGAAACATAATTTAACTCAATAATAAGTTGAAAGAATCAAATTGGGTAACGTCTTACTTTTCGATAATAAATATGGGCATATGACATTCCATAGGTGAAATTTTACCTGACAGAAGCACTTGTCTCGATTTTCAAATGTCAGGTGATCTTTAACGTGCTGCTAATGGTCTACCCTTTTCCTTGCTAGGCTCTTTTGATTTGCACTAAACGAGGATGGAAAATGCAAGGAACTTTCTTGGGATCAGTACTAGGCCTAGAATTGACCCAGTCAGCCAGTGCCCCAGGACATTTTGTGACATGTCTAATGACCTTGTCGCTTGGTCCACGTTACTCATATTTGGGAATTAACATTTATCTCTATTTTTACAAAGCATGAGACAGAATTTTATCCAGACAGCTTAATTTTTGCTTATCTTCTGTTAACCAGACAGCTTTATTTTTGCTCATCTTCTGTTAACTAGACAGCTCTATTTTTTGCTTAACTTCTGTTTTTTTTCTTATCTTCTGTTTACTAGACAGCTTTATTGTTTGCTTATCTTCTGTTAACCAGACAGCTTTATTTTGGCTTATCTTCTGTTATTTTTGCTTATCTTGTCAACCAGACAGCTTTATTTTTTCGTTTATCTAATTTGTGATGTTATTTACTATAGTAAGAAACTGGTGTTGTTAGTAATATAGTTTAATACAGACAAATACATACTTCATTAAATCTGTGAAAGCCCAACCATCGACCCAGTTCTCTACAAACTGGGCACCTTGTCTCTGTGTCACAAACTGACCTAGTCGTAATCTATTCTCCATACATTTCTGTCTGGTGGTTTTCTTCACTAATTCACTCTGATAAAACAAAACAAAAACCCTTGAAAATTTGCCAAGACAATATTATTATTATTATAGCATATTTATAGTGCGCCATTTCATATAACATGTTCAGGGGCACTTTACAAACTGACAATGTAATCATAAATAAACAAGATTATGGACATGTTAACGATTGTATACAGAGTCAGTTAAAAGCCTGATTAAATAAATGTGTTTTAAGTTGTTTTTTAAAAGAATATAAAGATGTACAACATCTTAAACTAAATGGTAGATTATTCCATAAAACAGGTGCTTGATAACTAAAAGAGCGCTGACCATAAGAAACTAGTTCAACAGTTTGGGCTTTAAAAGTAGTAAATCTGATATATACATTCAGATAGCACCTATAATCTCATTGATTTCAAACTTAAATTCATTGAAACAGATACTATATATATATGAAACTGAAGTCAAACAAGGCCATACAAAAGAATTTTCAGTCATTTCTTGCTCATTACTACATGCAGATTGCAGAATAACTATTATCCCCAACTGATCGCATTTAAGTGGTCTTCAAAAATTAAACAGGCGATTAGACAATTATTCTACGATTGTAATGAACTACCACAGACAATGTGTCTGAGAAAATAATTAGTTAATGGGTGCTTGTTCTTTTTAAGAACCTAAGAAATGCTCAGTTTTCCCTGCTATTGTCTCTCGATTTTATAACTTACCTTCTCCTTTAATAATGATTTATTGACTTCTAAACATTTCTGTAAATTATCTTTATGTTTCTCTAACAGTTTCTGTTGGGCAGTTAATTGACGTCTGATTTCATCATTTTGCTGAAATGAAAACATCAGAACTATATAATATCTTTTCCTCGTCATTCAAATCTCTGTTATTAGAATTATTTGCAATTTGAATAAGTCTACTGTAGAAAATGATCTAGTACTTCTATCAATGATCTTAAATTCTCTCATCATTATCAGGTGTTTTCACTTAAGATTATTTTGCAATCTGCATACATGTATAGTACATACTGGGCCAGATTAATCTTGTATGGGGCCCTTGGCTGAAAATGTTACTGGGGCCCTAGCATCCACAGTGAAATTGGGGCATATTCTGGTCATTGTACACCACAGACAAATGCAATTTGTATGTCAGTATTTCCCCTAGTTTCCTTAAAGTAGCTGCAAAAGTTTTAAATCCTTCTAGTCAAACCCTACCGTAATATGTGACATATTTATATGTGGTACAAAATTTGGAGCCCCCCTTAAATATCTGGACTCCTAGCTTTAGCCCAGTTGCACCCCCCCACCCCCACTACTCCCCGAATCCCTTATCTGTGCCCGAGTGCATATTATTAATACTGTTTATATATAAAATAAGGTAGTACTACATGTATATAGTTTTATATATAAACAAGGTTATACTATATACAGCATAGTTTTAACATAGTTTTATATATCAACAAGGTAATACTATATACTGCATAGTTTTATATATAAACAAGGTAATACTATATACTGCATAGTTTTATATATAAACAAGGTTATACTATATACTGCACAGTTTTATATATAAACAAGGTTATACTATATACAGCATAGTTTTAACATAGTTTTATATATAAACAAGGTAATACTATATTTTTAAAATAGTTTTATATATAAAATAAGGTAATAATGTACTCACCCTAACTAAGTCATCAATACGACTATCTTTTTGTTCTATATCTGACACTGATCTCGACTCTAATGCTCGGATGTGAGTAACTGTCATGTCTGTCTGAAAAATACATTATTTATTGGCTTTATAAATCAATAATGTTCATGTCTGTCCATCTTCATTAATAAAATATATTTCTTGATTAGCTGTGATTTAACTATACATTGAATGTTTTCAAATTGTAGTATTATAAGGTGTGCTTACTTCTGCCAATCCATCGCTGACAATGATATAGAAATGAAATAGGGTTTAAAGTCCTGCTTTTCTGATCCAACCGATCTAATAAAAATAGGCACACGGCATAAATGAAGTGTGTTATGAGGGAAATTTTTTTTGTTTTTTATTAGCTATGGTTTCCCATGTGCAATAAACAATATTTCAATATCCTCTTCCATTTGAGCAATTACCACAAATAAAATCAAACCGGGTCTTTACGCCAATCAAAAGGTCAAGCTCCTACAAACTTCTCTGCTCGTGATACAGCACAAGCAAAATGTCGCCAGAAGAAGTCTTTTTATTATCTAAGGGCTAAAATCTGTACTAGATTTTAATTTTCAGTCAATGAAAAAGCAGCATCCTTATATTTTTACGAGTGAGTAAAATTCACAAAAGGATCTATTTCACTAATAAAATAACAGAGTTGGAATTCCCTGCAAAATACTTACTTGAACTCCTTTTGTACAACAATAAATAGGTCTAGCAGGAAAAGACAAAACTTCCGAGCTAGAATGAGAACTACTTTGTGGAGATGCAGCCAGGTAGCCCTGTCATACAGAAAGAAAAAAAATTAGAAATATTACAAGAAATCCAAATATATGTACATTTAAAATCATCACAGTGTAAAATATATCCTTGACTTTATTTCTTTTCGAGTTATGTATTACAATGCAATGAAATGAAACCCACTGCTAAAGACACCTATGCGCAAGTGAATTATTGAAATAAAATTAAAAACCATATGTTAGTCCCGAAATGACCTAGTTTGTGTCAAGTGGACGTTAAACCCCATTTCTCTTTCTCTCTTCCGTCAGTTTAAATATAGATCAGTGGATGGTGTCTTAGCATGATTGGAAGAGCTGCAATTGCATTGGTTGTTTCAAGGAAACTGGACCACTAAATTCAAAGACATTTTATGTTTTCGTTCAATCACTTTTTACCTCCGCAAAGCATAGTATAAATGTTTTACGCAGGTTCTTGGTTCTAACCAAAGCATGAAATGCACATAAAGTTCTTGAGACCTAAATCTGCCTATTACTATTACAGGTCTTTATTCTGGTTTCAAAAGCTATGTAAACTATATAAACTATTACAGCAAGAACGGCCAGTTCCTACATAATGCATCTTTAAAATAATTTTTCTCAAGGTCTACTTTTATTCATAATTATGTCTGTAATAATGGGGCATATGAGACCATAATTACTAATGATTTCAGTTAATGAATTAATACAGTGTAACAAAAGACGTCTATGTAAAAATGAGTTTAATCTAAACAACTAGCCATATTTTCATCTGTTATTCAAACATCCTATAAGTGAAATGATAACTTACATGAGACAAGGTCTGTGGAGACGGAGATTTAGCACCTGAAGCAGGAATCATGTTACGACTAGGAGATTGATTCTGCTGCTGAAATAAAGTCAATTTCATTGATGAATTGTTAAATACATTAGATGAGACACTAAATCGGTCAAACCATTTTTTTGAACGTCGGTTCCTTTTCCAGAATCATCCAGGGTTCCTGGATCAAGACGCATGTCATCTTGACATAAGTAAATGATGCAACCAGAGAAACTGACACACGTATTGTGCTGCTTTCTTGGTTTATCTGCAATAGTCTAATTATGGTGCTAGTCACACCAATGGCTAATGTCTGACGTCCAATATCTGGATGTAAACAACTGAATGACTCATCTTGTTAAATCTTAATTTCATTTTTCATTATTTCATGTATTGGCTTGATCGCTCTATTAACATCTTAAGACATGTTTAAGAAACCTCCAGTATGGGACTGTGACTATAACATAATAAAACCATCAACTTTGACCTTGATAAGACTGCCAATAAAATGTCTCATTGATCAAAACCAATAAAATGACTTCACTGAATGTTTTGTATCGTAGGTTTTGATTGGTTGTAAAATGATTATAAAATGTCTTAAGACTGAGATAAAGTGGAGTAAACAATTAAACTCGGACAAAAGGAACGAAAAGTTAGATAATCTATAGTGATGCGTTGAATACACTAAGGACTGTTAAACCATGGTCTGTAAGTAATGGTTTTAGTAATTCCTGACAAAATGTCAGTTGCTAATGAACTTATACCTGATATTATGATCTTTGTGTTGGACAATATCAAAGACACCAGAGAGATTTGTGTCAGACTAAACCTCAATTCCTAACAATGTCTATGACAGATGCCTTATATCCTAATGAACTAGTATCGTATATTATTATGATCTTTGTGCTGGACATGTGTCGAACAAAGATAATGTATTTGTGCCAGACAAATCCTCAATGTCTGACAATGTCTATGAAATGAAAATGAAATGAAGAAATGGGGTTTAACCTCCTACTGTTCTGCTCCGAACTGGTCTAATGAAGACGGGCATATGCCATACAGTCTGCTATGAGGGAAATTTTGCCCCGACAGCAGCACTACTTCCAACTTTCAAGGGATCTTTTACGTGCACGCCAATGTGTACACGGGACCTGTTTTTTGTACCATCCGAACGACTGGATGAACGTTTTCGGCCAATGCAAGGATCGAACACCCGACCTCCAGGCTAGCGAGCCAGCGTCTTACCCACTACCGTGAACCCCACAATGTCTAGGACAGGCATCTTATTTCAAGACTTTTCTAAACAATTTGGACATGAATTTGTCCACAACAGAGAAGATCATATAATGTTGGAAACTAGTGAACTGACCTTGAAATATTCATTTATTTTCTTTCCATTTGTCTCAGCTCGGCCAGATTTTGTGGCACTACCTGAAGAAATAAACAAAATAATCATTAACATCTTGACATTTTTTAATATAGTTACTTCGATTTTATTCAAATATGTAATGCAAGGTTGATTTGATTTGAAATTGTGTGTTAATATGTGCGCGAGTAATAAAAAGACAACCTTTACTACACTTGCCTTAATATTCATTTATTCAATGAAATAAACATTCTTAAACCTGTGAGATATCACACATAATGTAATACATACAACATGACATGTCGCACCTTACCAAATTAACAGTTTTGGGTTTGAACTAAAATAGATATCTGGTTCGATCTTTTGCAGTAACTGTCACTCATTTACAGGAAGTTTTCTTGTCTGTGTATTATGGCTGGATGCGTGGGAGGGGCCGCTTCAGATAAAAACTACCCTTGCTGCACAGAACATGATTTTCTGTTTCAAATTACGATCGACTAATAATCAATTGCCATGTACAAATGAAATGACATCAGCCAGGGGCACAAATACCTTTATGTAACAAATAGTATTAAAGATATCCGAGATAAAATATGGCACCATGTTTATTCAAACAATTTAAACCATCTGAAGCCAGCGTTAAGGCATCACTGATTGAATAGGAGCTAACTGGTTCAGGTCAGGATAGTGTTTGTATAAAATTCATCCGCCAAAACATTGTACACTCAACATATCTCATTTGAGCAGCACTCTGGAGTCATGACAGAATTTATGCACATGTATGCACTTACCCATTTCCCCACTATCTGGGGCATTTTTTCTTTTACGTTTCCGTTCTGATGGTGTTCTGCATTTATCTGGGGTGCCAATCTGTCCTTCTGAACCTTCGTCTCTGTCCAGGGATCCAGCACTCAGGTTACTGCTTGTGTCCTGTAACATGGTCATTGGCTGTGACGTAGAAGTATTTAAGGGCTGAAACTGAACAGAACAAAAACCCAAAGTTCATCAATATTATAGTTATTCCAACAGACACACACCAGCATAAAATCAAAAGAAAAAAATGCTATCACCATAAAAATGCGGAGAGAATTTTGTGGATTGTAATTATTGGAATTGCCTGTGAAATATCTATGCAATTGTTGTTACTTGTGTTTTTAGAGCTGAACAATAACATGGTTGTTTACAAGTAAACAAAAATTATAAAATTATATGCTTGTTGATGTAATATAACATAAGTAATCTTATGTAAATTACCTGAAATAATAATTCTGTATTTATATTAATTGGAAGCAAAGTATGAAGACTTTCATTAAATCTTATTAGCAAAGCTTCATAAGCCAGATTCACACTGCAGATATTATGTTGAATTTACTTTAATGAATAATTCATTGCCTGTTTATATTTTATATTGATAGGGGTGACATCGACTAATGTTGGGGGTTTAGATAAGTTCTATTTTTATCCATATTTGCCATTGTCATAACTTTTGACTTGACATGTTTAAACATTGTATTTAAATCTGTAGTATGAACGCAGCCTTATTCTAGAGGGTAAATGTAGATACACTAAACTTGTACACAAAGAGACAACATATTCAATTAGAATATTAATAACCACAAAGTTTAGTATGTCTTGTTGAAAATTGTTCATTAAACAAAGTGTTATTACATGATTTACGTTTGTATCTGGTAACTGCTCAGATCACGGCTTTACTAATTTAGTTCAAGATTTCTGATGACTCATCATTCAGATCTTGAGCTGGGCCCATTTCTGCATATTAGGCACATGTACCATCATTGATTCATCAAAACTGTTAGCACTTATATCACCCGCAAGCTTAATTTACCTCTAATAAAATAGTTTGTGTCAAAGGGAGATAATAAGCTTAACACCCATTCAGCCTAATCATAACTATTGTCATAAGTGTACTGACTACTGTTCTTAAATTAAAGATGCATTATATAAGAGCTAAACCTGCCTATTACAGGATTTTATATTGGCTTCAAATTCAAATGATATATAAATTATTATTTACACATTCATTCGCATGACAAGTCTATAATCAACTCTCCAGAAACTCGGATGGTGCAGATGTTAACAGATTTTAATACAATCCCCATTTAATAATGATTTCATTCAAAGATAGGTTGCCAGGCAACAAAACATACGCCCACAGCAGCTAAATCGTCCGAGCGGTCGACAAGGGTTGTCGAATATTTATTCCTTTGTAGGTACATGTAATTGGGGGTCTTTACAAGACAATTCCATACAAATCAGATTATAAATTTTGTCGTTTTGAGGGTTTACAAGGTTCTACAAACTGAAACAAGGGTCTCAACTCTGGAAGTAATCTACAGAAATTGTTGAAATTTGACAGGCTTTTTCGTTTTACTAATTTAAATAATGCATATAAATTTCATACATATCGGATGATAACTTTCATCAATCGAGCATTAACAAGGTTTAACAAAATGAAACAAGGGCAATAACTCTAGAAGTAATTATTGTAAATTGCTGAAATTCAATAGGCTTTTTTGTTTCACTAATTTAAATCATGCATATAAATTTCACAAAGATTGGGTGATAACTTTTGGCGTTAGAGCGTTCACAAGGATCAATAAAGTGAAACAAGGGCCATAACTCTAGACGTAATAAACAGAAATTGCTGAAATTCAATAGGCTTTTTCGTTTCACTAACCTTAATAATGCATATACATTTCACAAAGATTCGGTGATAACTTTTGGTGATGGAGCGTTCACAAGGTTCAATAAAGTGAAACAAGGGCCATAACTCTAGACGTAATTAATGGAAATTGCTGAAATTCAATAGGCTTTTTCGTCTCACTAATTTAAATAATGCATATAATTTTCAGAAAGATCGAATGATAACTTTTGACGTTAGAGCGTTCACAAGGATCAATAAAGTGAAACAAGGATACTCTAGACGTAATTAACAGAAATTGCTGAAATTCAATAGGCTTCTTCGTTTCAGTAATCTTAATAATGCAAATAAATTTCAGAAAGATCGGATGATAACTTTTGACGTTAGAGCGTTCACAAAGATCAATAAAGTGAAACAAGGGCCATAACTCTAGACGTAATAAACGGAAATTGCTGACATTCAATAGGCTTCTTCGTTTCAGTAATCTAAATAATGCATATAAATTTCAGAAAGATCGGATGATAACTAAAGTGAAACAAGGGCCATAATAAACAGAAATTATTGAAATTAAATAGGCTTCTTCATCTCACTAATGTAAACAACATATATCAATTTTAAAACAATTGGATGATAACTTTTGGCGTTAGAGCGTTCACAAGAAATTGTTGACGACGGACGGATGGACGGGGGCGACGGCAATATTCGTCCACATTTCAATGTGGGCGTATAAAAATGGAGAAGCAAAGTTGATTCTCGATTAACAAGTAACGTTGCTGCGATAATAAACAATCCAAGGCAAAACTTCAAACAGTGATAACATCAATCCGAAACAAGTAATTTGACTGAAATATTCAAATATATCTATTTTGAATTACCTATTTTGGAACTATAGCAAGAACAGCCCGCTCTTTATCTAAATCTTATATAATGTATCTTTAAAGTGTATGTAACATGTAGATCACTGCCCAATTATACTGATCGGTTAATAATTTATATTAATCAAAATTCGAAAGAAAGATTGCTTTCTAAATGCTATATTGCCTACATATGTAAGCCCCTAATTACATTGTGTATGTGAACTCATTTTATAGAACTTTGTGATTCTCTGATAACAAACACTCCCCCATAATGAGATCCATAAAATGTTTATAAATGAAGGTTGAAGTGACACAAACTTTGTATTGGTGTAAGACTTTTAAAACATTTTGAACCTGATCAATAGTGTAGGTCTATTTCCTGTTTGTATATCATGTTCTATTAAAATGTTATACAATATTATCACCATGAATAATGTGAAGTGCTATAATATAAACCTTTAACAGTGCCGGTTGGTCATACAAATATGTATATAAATCATTGTAGGTTACAATGTCAATCATTTTACGCCTCAATGATCAGGATTATTGATGTTCATTCATATACATTATACATTAGGCTAGAAAATATATGCTGTGTAATCAAAGCCACATGTATTAACATTAAATGTAAATGGTAAAGTCTCAATTTGTCAGAAGGCCAATAATCGCTTTCCGTATTTAAGTCCACTCAAAGCAAACTAGGTCATTTTAGGACTGACATATATAGTATAATAATTTTACTTAAATAATTTCCCTTGACCATAAGTAAGGCGACCCTACTCTCCATGGAGAGAGAGAGAGAGAGAGAGAGAGAGATGGGGTTTAACGTCCACTCAACACAAACTAGGTCATTTCGGGACTAACATGGTTTAATTTTATTTCAATAATTCGCTTGTGCGTAAGGGTCTTTAGCAGTGGGAGGAAACCGGAGGACCCGGAGAAAACCCACAAGGTTGGACAGGCAAACCTACTCCTTGTCACGTACAAGCGGAGATTCGAAACAGGCCATCCAACTCCCCTCTCCATGTAGAAGTTTGAAATAGAAACCATGCTACTTGATCTACATGTAATGTACATGTACATGTATGCTCTATATTAGTTTACTCAACCTCAACCACCCAATTGCCCGGAAATCAAAGGGTGGCTATTACTTCCATTTGGATTAATGGTTTGGGCCTTAATGATTCTTGTTAATTGTTTGTTAAGACTACATTTGTGTGTATCATCTAAAATATTTGATAATAAGCCTGTACATGTATTTTGTTCTGAGTTCTGTATATCATTATCAATGTGATTTGATTCATCCATGCATATTTAGAGATATATATTTTGTACCTATATCTCAATAAATCGATATATTTTTACTGTATAATGAATGTACCAATAAGTTGTCCACATACCATGAAGTAGTTTAACTTTTTTTTAATATACTGTAACATAATGTTAACATTGACAGGTGGGTGTTCAAAGTTAATTTTTATATTTTAACCACTTAACTTTTAACATATAAACTATTAAAGTGTACATTGTTTATAGGCAACAGAATCACCATGGATACAACAATGGGTATTTAAATCGTGTTTCTTTGATTTTTATGCATGTAACAGTCAGTATAAGTAGCCAAATAATGCAATACAAGCAGTTTCCTATTATAACACACTGGAACCGTATTACCTATACAGGGGTCAAAGGTTTAACTCACTAAAACACCAATGTAACTCTTGATCTCTTACACAGTACATGTGTATAATGAAGTACAACAAATAACCAGTATAAACTACAGTATATTGATGAATTGTGACTCCATTATCAAGTTTCATTATTTGTCAAACATTTCGCAATAGTTTGTGCATTAAAGACTTAATTTAAAACAAATCTGAGTACACATCGAATGGTATTTAATACTGTATGATATTATTCGAATGCTATCTAATTCAGTAGAATTAATCAATTTATGAACAGGGTTTCATATAAATCTCTCAAATCAATATATTTCACTGAATTAATGTTACTAAAGATGCATTATGTAAGTGCTATTGAAGATCTTTCTTTTGGCCTCAAACCTTATATAAATTATTAATTAGACATTTATTCACATGACCAGGCCATAATCAATGCCCTAGAACATCAAATGGTGTTGATTTGAACGGATTGAAACATCATCGCTATTTACAGTAATATCTAATTTAAAAATGGATAATCAACGCTTTCTACAACAGTAGCAATGAAAATTGAGACTACGCTATTCTTTAAACAGTCATAACTCCACTCAGATGGAAGTAAATTTCAATATATTACTTTCTCATTCAATATTTTTAAACTGTTTTAGTAGCAAGAACTGTCAGCTACATGTATGTGTGTCTAAATCTTACATACGGTAACACATAATTAAATATTTCACAGGAGATGAAAAACATCAAATTCCATTATTTTTAATTGACATCGAATAACGAATAATA